TTTAAAATTTATTAATTAAAATAAAATATTTTTAAAAAATATTAAATATATAAATCAAGTCTATCTCAATTCCTTTCAATCGAAAGGATGAAAAACAATAGAGTGAATAGAATTTGAGCAATGCTAGTGGCACTCGCTTTCTGCACTCTCCAGCCAATACTTTCTCTTTTATTGGGCCACGTTATTTTGGTTTCCGAGAGGTTCGCTGAAAGCTTTTAAAGAAGCTTACATGGCCCAATGAAAGGGGAAGTGTTGGCCAGAGAGTGCAGCAAGTGAGTACCCCTAGCACTGCCTATAGAATTTTATCACCTTCCTTCTTTCTCCTTCTCCGTTAATAAAGAAACAAAAATGCAAACAAAACAACAGAAACATCGATCCCTTGCTCCCCCCTTCCAACTCCATCAATCTAAATAGGAATCTCACGTACAAATTAGGTAAACTCTTAAAAATATTGTACCCCGTAAATAAAGTCACGTCGTGTCGCCTTCATAGTACTACTGGATGACTTTGAGGATAGGACCAGATACAGCTAATGTCATGCGAGCAGTGCTAGGGGCACTCGCCTCCTGCACTCTCCAGCCAACACATGCCTTTTTATTGGAACACGTAATCTTGCTTTGTGAAATGCAATGATCACACGAAACAAAAGTAACGTGACCCAATGAAAATGGAAGTGTTGGTTGGAGAGTGCAATTGGCAAGTGTCCCTAGCATTGCTCATGTTATGCATATACTAACAAAGAAGGTGCAATGTACCCAAGAAAAAACAAAGACGGTGCAGGCTGCGCTTCGCTTAGCCCAGGTACAATTTTTTAAAAAATATTAAATAATAATAATAATAAGAATAATAACAACCAATACGTTGGAGTGCAGAGAGCACTCCCCAAATAATGATTCTGGTTGAAAATTATTTCACATTTTGGCTCGATGAAATACCTTTGACCATAAATAAAAAAAATTCAAAGAAATGTTGGGGAGTTTGTACCTATATTTTGCATTTTGCAATGAAAGAAACTAAATTTGATTCAAAATTTTCAAAAACAACTTGAAACTAAAAACAATGTTAACGTAATGTAATTGAGACACTAATTATGTTAGCTAGTGAAAACTCACTCAGTTTCCTATGGCCTAAAAATTATTCTCTAGTTCAATTGTAGTAGGTTTAATATTTTTGTTAAAAAAAATAATTTATTAAAACTTTATATTTATCCCTTTTAAAATAAATTTTATAGTATTTATTCTTCATTAATCATTACTTAAATTAGACTTTTTATTTAATATATCGTAATTATCTTTTTAAAATAATGACAAAACAAAAATGAATTTATTAAATAACATTTAAAAAAATAAATAATTAAATTTAAACATCTCAAATTAAAAATTAAGTCTATTACATTAAACAAAAAAAGTAAAAAAAAAAATTACTATTATTACAGACAAAATTTTAAAAAATATCATTAATGAAACAATTACACATAAATTTATTAATGAAATATTGATTTTTTTAGTTAATGCTAATTAACATCTTTCCAACCAATCTAAACCAAAAAATACCCAATGACCTACACTTATGGTGATTTTATTAAGATCACATAATTTTATTTAATTTGACAATTAAAAATAATTAATAATTAAAAAAATTAATTTATTAGTTAATAAATTAATAATATTTTTAAATATTATAATTAATTATTTAAAAAATTATAAACTAATAAATAGTAATCAAATTAAATAATTTTTACGTGAATTTAACCTAAAAAAAAGTAACCACAAGTACATCATACTAAGTATATCAACGAATGAACTCCACCAAGTGACCCGTTCGGCCGCATGCCTCAAATAAAACTAATTAACCTACTAACTATTGTCATTGTCAAAAAAAAAAAAGAGTATATCAAGGAATGTACAACCGGTACGTTTGGTATTCAGTTTGCGGTCTTAATTATAATAAAAATTTGTGGAAGACAATTACCAAGTCCTGATCGAAACTTTATCACTATGAAAAGTCATAATTGACAAGTATTTAGGCGCCAGGCCGTCACCTACCAGTCCCTTACTGGACCATCAGTCACGCCTTCAACCAAAAGCAAAACCTACCAATCCTTTCCACCGTTGAACAAGACTTCGTTTCCCTCTATTTAAACCTTATTCTCCTTTTCCATTTTCGCCACCTCTATGCTTTTTCTCCCTCCTTTTTTTCCTTTTTCTTTTTTTTTTCTAAGGGAAACGATCTAGTGAACTAATTAACATGGGTAGCTTAGCTGCATGTGTCGCCGGCGTTGGTCCAACCTTGATCATCGGCTCGACCGGTTTCATTGGTCTGTTTGTTGCCGAAGCTTGCATTGACTCAGGCCGGCCAACCTACATATTGGTCCGGGACGGTCCGATGTCGCCCTCCAAGGCTGCTACCGCCAAAGTCCTTCAAGACAAAGGGGCCACCATTGTTCATGTAAGTGAGAATATATAAATGTACAGGTTGCATGTCGTTTTCTTTAACTTGTTTCGGTTTGCTCCGGGTACCTCAAAATATTTACTCAGTTGTAAGAAAAAAATTAATTTGTCCTTGAATGCAATGCTATATGGTGTGATTGTGATATCAGGGTACTATCAACGACCGAGAATTTACGGAGAAGTTGATGAGGGAACATAAGATAGAAGTTGTGATATCTGCAATTGGTGGTGACAGCATCTTAGACCAGCTCCATCTGATTGATGCCATCAAGAATGTCGGTACAATTAAGGTACCTAATTATGTATTGGATAAAATGGCTAAACTTATTTCTTTTTCTTTCTTTCTTTCTTTCTTCCTTTTTTTTTTTTTTCTTTTTTTTAATCTCCAAAACTCTTTCTGCGAATTCAAAGACTAGTTCATATACCTAACTCAAAACACTAAATTATTGTTGTAGATTGGAGTTTCTTTTAACTATTTAAAGACGTTAAATTTTCATGAAACTCCTAAAAGAAAAAATAGTACTAGTGAAGGAGAAATTGTATGTCTAGAGTGGAAGATATTTTGGCAAAGATAGCTAAAGTGGAAGCTAGTGGAATTTGACAAGAGATTTGACGAATGCATTTTCAAAAGAAATGAGACTGTATAAACTATAAAGGAGTGAAAAGTTGGTGCAAAGCAAGACAGAATCATGGGATATAGGGAAAAAAAAAAAAAGAGAGTCGGAACTTATAAAAAATTAAGTTTAGGTTTATCCCTTTTTTTTTGGGTCTTAGGATAGCCTTAGTTCATTTTTTTACCCAAGTTAAACCTCCAATTTAGTCCTTCAATTATTATATGGGCTTTTGATTTGGTTTCTAAATTAAAAAAAATTCTTAATTTAGTTCTTAAAATTTTTAATTTTAACTCCAATTTAATTTTTTTGTATAAAAATAATTAAAATGTCTTATTATTAACGTGATATATGACCTTTAAGTAATGGTTTTTTATCATTAAATAATAGACATGTTAATTATTGTTTAAAAAATGACCAACTTGGGCTAAATTTGAAAATTTTAAGAACTGAATCAAGAATTTTTTTAGTTTAGGGACTAAATTGAGAGTTTATACAGTAATTAAGGG